GGTTCACCCTGGACCTAAACAATCAAATCTACTGACATACAGGGTTCACCCTGGACCTAAACAATCAAATCTACTGACATACAGGGTTCACCCTGGACCTAAACAATCAAATCTACTGACATACAGGGTTCACCCTGGACCTAAACAATCAAATCTACTGACATACAGGGTTCACCCTGGACCTAAACAATCAAATCTACTGACATACAGGGTTCACCCTGGACCTAAACAATCAAATCTACTGACATACAGGGTTCACCCTGGACCTAAACAATCAAATCTACTGACATACAGGGTTCACCCTGGACCTAAACAATCAAATCTACTGACATACAGGGTTCACCCTGGACCTAAACAATCAAATCTACTGACATACAGGGTTCACCCTGGACCTAAACAATCAAATCTACTGACATACAGGGTTCACCCTGGACCTAAACAATCAAATCTACTGACATACAGGGTTCACCCTGGACCTAAACAATCAAATCTACTGACATACAGGGTTCACCCTGGACCTAAACAATCAAATCTACTGACATACAGGGTTCACCCTGGACCTAAACAATCAAATCTACTGACATACAGGGTTCACCCTGGACCTAAACAATCAAATCTACTGACATACAGGGTTCACCCTGGACCTAAACAATCAAATCTACTGACATACAGGGTTCACCCTGGACCTAAACAATCAAATCTACTGACATACAGGGTTCACCCTGGACCTAAACAATCAAATCTACTGACATACAGGGTTCACCCTGGACCTAAACAATCAAATCTACTGACATACAGGGTTCACCCTGGACCTAAACAATCAAATCTACTGACATACAGGGTTCACCCTGGACCTAAACAATCAAATCTACTGACATACAGGGTTCACCCTGGACCTAAACAATCAAATCTACTGACATACAGGGTTCACCCTGGACCTAAACAATCAAATCTACTGACATACAGGGTTCACCCTGGACCTAAACAATCAAATCTACTGACATACAGGGTTCACCCTGGACCTAAACAATCAAATCTACTGACATACAGGGTTCACCCTGGACCTAAACAATCAAATCTACTGACATACAGGGTTCACCCTGGACCTAAACAATCAAATCTACTGACATACAGGGTTCACCCTGGACCTAAACAATCAGTAGACAAAAAGGAAGCTATGTGTGATTTTCAGTAGACTTTTGATTTAAACAGTGGCCATACTTTCTCGGCCGCCAACCGTTATGGATGGACCCTCCATTAAAAGCACACACCATTCCAGTCTGATAACGAAAATACAGTGTATATGTCACATGAGTCCAAACGATAGGGATAATTTTGAAACGCTCCGTTTAGCAGACGAACAAAGAGGGAGAAAAATTTCGAAGATAGGCCTATATAAGAATTACCAAAAGTGTAAGACCGTGACAATCCTGACTCTCACAGCTGCGGGAGTGCCGTCTCGATGTGATTTTAGGAAGATGAATCAATTAACAAGCCTTTTTCATGCATTGGGGACACATTAGATGGTTTTTCTTGAGCAGAGTGATTTAGTTCACTTGACCTCAAGTCTGGATTTTGACAAGAATGATTTGCTAAGGTAGCAAAGGAAACGACAGCGGTCTCTATTTGCAGTTATCTACGATATTATCCTGGCATGGCCTTTGGTCTTAGTAAAAGTCTAAGTACAATTGAGCGCCTTTATATCGAAACGATATAACTTGAGTTAACTTGGAAGCCGTGCTTCGTGTATCTAGACAAAGTCCTCTACAGTTTGGGGAAGGCAGATTTAAACTTGAGTGCTTACTTACTTACTTACTTACTTACTCAGCCTTTTGTTCTGGTAGTGCGAACTTTCGTTTTCTTTACCCTTTTGTGTCATAAGTGATTCTATGTGAATGTACTGATATCATTTAACTTTCCTGTCATATACATGTAGATTTAATTAACCAGCTGGTATCCTACATAATTTGTGATTTATTATGTTGTATATAATATTGTTTACATGTCAGCTGTTAACCGTCCATATTGTGTACGTAATATGTATATAGTATATGTTTACAGGGCCATATTGTAAACTAGAAAAATGTCTAAATACGTTACCCTGACTAAATACAAGAATTTATTATTGTTTAGTGAATTGAAATGTAATTTGTAACAAAAACAGATATTCTTTTTGGTGCATTAAGCAAGCAAAAAGAACCTCTCCAGAGATTGACGAAGGCAGATTTAAACTTGAATGCAAAGCGATATAATTTTTTATTAGAACAGATAGCCTTTTTTGTTCATTTAGCTAATAACTTTGGAGTTGCTACTGAGAAAAAAATGCTAGTTGGTAAAAGCGTGGCGAATGCCGAACAATGTGAAGGAGGTGAGGAGCTATTCAGGACTGTGCACATATTATCGAAAACTTGCACAACAACAGTTTGCCAATATAGCACCTCTACACCGTGTGAAAGAAAATGGACCATGTTTTTCGGTGCACAATTGAATGCCAAGGAAATATGTTCATGGATGTCTTCGAAAAAAGCACAGGGAGAATAAGACATGATGTTCGGGAAAGGAAGGCGTCTTAATCGTCATCAACGACACCAGATCAGAGAATCGGATTGGTAGTTATGATACTGTATATATCACAAGTGTTGCAATATAAATGGTTACATTTAGCATAAATCACAAGATGTTCAAATATCCGAATGTTTGACGTGCCATAGCAGTGTTTATTAAGAGGATATGGTCTTAATTAATAATGATACAGTGTATGTTTTAAGTGTTCAATCTTGTCAAAGACGTGGCTGACTACTGACTATGACATGTACTTATCTTGACATTGTAAATAATTACACTCTATATGCTATTATTCTTGATTGTAACAGTTGTTGGTAGCAGTGACCTATGCGATATATGCACATGGACTTTTCTACCAATAACTGTCTATGATAGTGTATATATATGCTGAAATTAATGTATTTGTACATGTACTTGTTTGTGTGTGTAAGTGTGTATGAGATGTGTGAGATGTTTCCTTCATGAGTTACTTCCCCTTATCCTTGTGTAAATATGAATTATTTTGTGCTAAATATTTCCTTTCCAACATGTCTAAAGTATTATGTATCATTGTTTATTCTACTTTGGCCATTTAACGGAGATAATTTATATAGACTTTGCCTGTTATTCTATCATATTGACTATGAAATCCTAGTTATCATTGATTACGTGTAAAGCACGTGGTTAGAAATACATGATATTGAAATCGATTTCTATTGATTGTTTAGCTTGGCAATACTTACGCTTGAAGTCAGATTTAAGTGAACTGAAATCAAAAACGTTGAGAAGAAGACTTCATTATGTTCCACATTCATTGGATTACTAGAAAATAGATATGTGTGCACTATATTAAAAATGGTTAAAATACTTAAACTATTTTTGATATAGTGCACACATATATACATACCAGTAAACGTTTTAAACAATGAATTAAATCAAACACGACTGAATTAATTGAATAGGACCGCCTCTCTTCACCCTTCCCACCTCTCTATACGTCTGTGTCACTCCCTCTCTCTCTCTCCCACATAATCTCTCTCTCTCTCTCTCTCTCTCTCTCTCTCTCTCTCTCTCTCTCTCTCTCTCTCTCTCTAGCACCCCTTTCAAATTAAATTACTGAGAGAAAAGTATTTGGTTTTTGCAAACCGTTCACCCATTCTTGGTTTAACTTATATATATATATTGATGTATTGTCGCTTTTTAAATGTTTTGTGTAATAACTGTTGAGGAGAGGGCTTTGATAATGTTGTGAAAACTTGTGCCCGATCCTATTGCTGTAAAAATAAAAAGCAATACAATATGTTTGAACGAAATATCTGACTGTCACTTAGTTTGGCTTCTCGGTAATATGGATTTTTTTTACAAAATACTCACACTTTCTTCATTATTGGATTCTGACAATATCATATTGGATACTAATGTTCTCACAAAGGGAGACATGGATTTACGTATTGTGTTCTCTCTTGTGTATCATTAATTTCCTGCAGTTCTAGTGTAACTGGTTAGTATGGCACTGTGTGTAGTGACAGTGACTTTGAAGTGCCCTAACCGAACTCTAGCTCTACCCTGGTAAAATCTCTGATATTCCAATTAGACTGCTAATCTCTATGTATGTATATATATAACTGGCTTATTGGTTCGGCCTACCCTTAATTGTATCTACCTAAACCTAATATGTTACATCTTCTATTTATATGTAGTATATGGTTGAAATGTATGTCTTTTCTATATGGAAAGGGCTTTTATAGACAATGACTGTGTCTAATCCTATTGTTAATTGCAACAATAGAATAATTTTCTTCATCATTGGATTCAAATAGAAACAATTTCAATACACTTTGACTTAAAATGAGTATGAAAATACTGATTGATTTGTAACTACTGACAGAACGAGTCTAACGTCATTCTCCTGATATGGCATAGGTGTCGACGTTATAACCGTACTTCACTAGCCATAGATAGAAGATTTTCTCAAGCGCTTGATTTCATATTAGTGTTTTAGGATTCCTGGTACTATCCATGGTGTGTGTAATAAAACGATGTAAGGATTTTGTAAATCGATGCAATATTCCCTTTATATTTGTTTTTCAAAAATGCTGAAATCCAATTAAGCGTTATACTGTATGTTTGTTGGCGGAAGGTTATTTGGTAATCCGGAGCATATTGTGACCTCATGGTTTGGTGAGCTCAGTGCAAATTATTCTCATTGCATAAAACTGAAACAGGAAAGTTTTAAAATATATTTTGAGATTTCTTGGAAATTTTCTTTAACTCTTTATGACTCATGTAGATGTATAATTTCCTTAAGCATACTTTACCAGCCAAAGTAAGATTACGTACCCTGATAAAGAATACAGAAGGGCACACAAGACAATAGACTCGCTTATTGCACGACCAAGGAAGAATTTCAGCGTATTGTTCAGCTATATTATACATAAGGAAATACATATCAGTTAGTGATCGTTTATGTGCGGGTGTCTATTTCATCTACGTGCCTATTGTTGTTACGAGAACTGGGCGTGAACACCACAACAGACTAGGTATGTCACAATTTAGTTTGCTTAACTTGCAAGTCATTGGTTGATCTCAATGAACGAACTTGTGCAGACAGATCGCTACATGTAACGTACGAAAGATATAATTTGATGTTGTGCAAATGTTTGCTTTGTTCGGTTAACGCCTTATTAACAGCTAAGTTCATTAAGAACATGTATCCATATGTGTAATGTATGCATTGGTGAAGGAGGCGATATGTTGGTGTCATCCCCCCTCGATCTGATGGCGAATTAAGAGTGCTAATTCACTGATACACCGCATACATTATAGTAATTCACCAGGGCCCGTATACCTGAAACAGCTATCATGCTCAAGCATGGATCCTATGCTCAAACCAGCTTCCTCGTAACTCACTTAAATCATGTGACACAGTAACAATGTCAAGTGCAAACATTTTTAAATCAGAGTTTGAGCATGTGAAAGCTTCATGAATACGGGCCCAGGTCACACTTTACTGAAAACGGTTAAACCAATTCTCACCGCTACCTATTAAAGCTGCACGTGAAGCAGAGAGTAGCAATTAAGTACAATTCTGAGGACTTTAGTTTGTCTCAGTGGTGATACAGAACCTATAACCTTCCTTGGGCGAACACTTAACACCAAGGTCATTAAAAAACAAAGGAGAGAAGACGTAAAGATCCGAAATGTTGCAATAAGTGCAGCACATTTAGTTTTGGCACTTTTGTGTCCCCAAGTACAGGGAACATATATAAATTTCAAATTTTGCAGGAGTTCCCATATAACTATTACGATGCAGTGAGTAACAGCAGCAGGTATACTTTATATTTTAATCCCCAATTGCAGGGCTGTTAAAATATATGAGCTGATGTATTTTCTACCCAAGTTACAAAACAAAAGCACTTCATTTAAACAGAAATTCAACTGCAAACAGGAAGTCTTAACACAAAGTCTATGATAAAAAAGGCAAATAATGAAGGGCTAAAATGTGAAAACGAAAGTCTATTTTGGACAAATCCCAATCGTAGCGTTAAATAGATAGAGATGTTATCAGCCGTATACGGCGGTACTAGATAGAACAAGCTAGTGCTAGAATATTGGAAAAATGTACCCTAAGAATAAAGATAGTGAGTGTTCTCTTCTTCTGTCCATTTCCCGACTTCAAAAGACTATGATTCGTATAGGCAAGGGCGCTTATATGTAGGTATTTTTAACATTGATCAATATGCACACAAGCAACGAAAACAATAGAAGTAGCACCATGATGATGGGATTTAGAATTTAAAGAATGAGATGGGAAAAGTGTGATTATCACAATATTCGCAACTCCCCCCCCNACATGAACTCATCACAAATGAGTAATAACTTACTAAAGGCTCGCTACAAAGGGAGAAATCTTCATAAATGAGATGTTGAATGAAAATTCATGTAAGATCATTAATGCAAATTCGTATTGATTATACGCAGTTGCTAGCCAGTTCTTAACATATATGTGTTTTGCTATTTTTCAAATAACAATTGAGTTCAAATAAGATTAATTAATTGATATTCAGTAGTTTGATTTATAAATAAATACGTTTCAGATTCTAATACAACACATATACCATGGCGTGGTCAGATGTACTGCAGGCTGTACTCGTGCTTCCGTTCACAGCGGGGAATTCGAGGACAGTTCGGAACCGACCTGTTCATTTAGACGGAACGACATCCACCGTTGTCATCAGTATTTTCTTTTTCTCCTTTATATTACTGCTAGTGAATGGTATTATAGACAAAGAAGACACTCGCATAAGCTTCGTCGGGATCAAAGTTATTCTATCCATTGTTGTCTCCCTTGGCTTGCTGTCCTGTGTGGCTGTTATCATTGTCATCAAGGTCAAAGGCTTCAACTCAATAATGGAGCGTCGACGGGAGGTGACGAGTTCTCGTCTCCAGAAGGTTGTTTTGTGGATTTTTGGGATCCTGTCTGTTGTATATTGCTTCCTGAAAAGTGCCCACATAATAGAGTGTATCCACACTCTCGATTCCAATTACAAGTACCACGCCCCAATCATGGACTGTGTATACTACGCTATAATACTTGGATTCCTGCCCGTACAAATGTTATCACTAACCTATCTCACGCCTTACCGATTCAAAAGATGTTGGCAGATTCATTATGTGATACTGGTAGTACTAGCCTCTAATCTCACGATGTGGGTTTACGGTTTGAAGACACATAGCCATTCTCATGTAAACCTCAAAAACGTCACGTGGAATACCAACTGTACAAATCAAACATTTACACATATGCTTCATGTCTCCGAAAACATTCTGCCTCCAATATTTTTGGAATATTCTATGTTAGCAATTACGATGACACACAATTTATCTGTTAAATGGGAAACTTACAATGACAGAAGCGAAAATACAATCCTAGAGACCCATAGTCTGACAGAAACAAGTGAAAGCACTTTCGAAGAAGGCGACAGTACTGTTCCAATCAATGCTGAAACTCCATTATTGTCTGAATTATCAAGATCTTCCCTAGGTCAGAGGAGAGACAAGAATATGTTCCTGTTCTACGTCGTTTTGATGTTATGGGGATTGCTTTCTGTTGGTATTTTCATCGGATACATTGTTCAAGTCACTATCTACAATGAAATTCAACAGAAATGGACCGCTAGTTTAGAACTGGTCATTGCTGTCATGATGGCGATTTGTACATATTATGGATATCATTTTGTGGCACGAGACACCAATCCTCCTTTCAAGTCCGATCCAATTTCCGGAGGCGAATACGTGTTTATTCTTTCTTCAATTGGTTCACTGTTAGGAAGTACATTTCGCGTGATGACATCCCTAAAATTGAAAACTCCCAATTATGTGATTGCAGTTTCTCGGGGGATCTTTGGTACTCTTTCCTACTTACAGACTGTCCTTATCCTTCACGCTAGCCGCTGCAGCCCGAAGCACCAGTGTCGAAATAAAGCATCACTGAAGCGCACTTTGCTGATACTGTCATTGTACAATTTAGGGGCTTGGACCATCGAGAGCTTTATATTGGGTAGCTTTCCTAGTTTAAGGAGCGCAGAGAAACAATATCTTGACCAGGCCCTGTGGGAAATAAGTTACCAGGTTTGCCATCCTATGAATGTCTTCTTCAGATTCGCCTCAGCTCTGGAATTATATGAGTTGTATAAGAAATATGGAGGCTAAACACGTAGAGTGCCTTTTGTCCGCCAACTTCTGTGAATGAGTGTATCAGACTTTGTATTTGTTCTAAAGGTTAGGAGAAACTTATACACCATCGCTTTTCTAAAGTCGATAAACATCGCTGATACGAGGTCTCTATATTTTTAAAATTGTGTGGACTGGTTTCAATAACATAAGATCTGTGACGAAAAGTATTGCCTACCTTCCAGAGCAAATGATTGTGTCTCCATGTTTTGCTTTTTTATCCCCCCCCCCCCCCCCCCCATCGAATTGATTTATTCATTTTGTTTTCGTATGGTTACAATATATTGTACTTTTCTTAATGCTTAGTGAAGAAGTTAGAGATGAAGAATTTTACTCTTTGTTTTAAAGGAAATTGCTGTTAAATATACATATTATAGTAATTTTACTTACCAATAAACTAAGTGATGAACGTTGATTCTGGTAACAGGAAGAGTTCGCCTACTGTAAAGTATAAAACAAATGGTTTGAGATGAAAAAGTTACATAATTGTATATATAAAAATATTTTATTAAAAGATAAATGAATATCATTTTTCAAAGTCTTATGGATTTCTTCCTTTCTTTTCTTTCTTGTTTTTAGATTCTACTGATCAATGAAATTTGTACCTTCCTTTTTAATAAGAGAAAACATGTGTCTTTGCCTACAAGTACAAGTTAGAGGATGGAAAGGAATTTAAGCCTACGGAACACCAGCAATTTAGCAGTTTTGTTACCATTGTCAGTAACCTTTCATGGGATGCTCAATTATCTGGAAGAAAAAAAAGAGAAAACCCCCGCTCATTAAAGTTTGAATGCAATTAAGGAAACAATCAAATAAATGCACCGTTATCTATTTAAATATCTATGAAAAGATTTGTAAAACTTCATCTAGAATATGCCAACCAAGTTTGGAGCCGGCATCTGATAAAATATACATAGCGGCGGCCATAGCCATAGATTATTATCAAAAGAAGAGCACGAAAACTTATTGGGTATGGCAGACCTATCTGCTCCCAACGTTACACCTTAACACGATAATATTAAACTGTTGATGCATAAGGCTGAACTAATCTTATGAGAAGGGAAAACGCGGGATGCCAATCAGCGGTGAATGAATACATAAATAATCTATTTTTTTCAGTACATGTACAGGAGTATTAGTCTGAACGGCATGAAACTTTGTGAGATAAGGACAGGTCGCAGTCCACATGTGACACCACTGAGGATCCTGATGGGGATAATCCTTTAGCTAAATCAGGCTTTAATCCTCAATCAATTAAGTTTAGGATATGTTACGATTCCTTCTCCTTCTATTTCATAAATCTGCTGGCCAGATATTTAGGAAAATCCACATGAGCATTGGTAGGTAGATGTGCGTAACACTTTTATTTTCCGATCGGTCGTCAAACATGGTTGCGGTGGCTTCTGATTGGCTGACCCGTAATGGATTTAATTTAATTTTAATTTTGAGGATTGAAATGAAAATTGGCGAAAAAGATATTTATGAGACACTTGAAACAATTGAAACTTACAACCGATCACAGGGTTGATAGGTCATATTTCATGGGTTAATACGCAATAAAATTTAACATGGGTATATTCACTGGATAACACAGTACATTATGTAATAAACATGTATGTTTCCTAGTGAATTACTTCAACGACCAAAGTTAGATACACTACACATACAGGGTACACATCACAATAGGCTCATTTTTTGCCCCGGAAGAATTTAAGCGTACTGTGCTATTAATTACAATCATTAAGGAAACATCCGAAGTTTTGTTGGTGTCTGTAACGTTGTCTTCGTAAATTAATTTCTACACGGCTGAGCTGTTACGAGGAATTACCACGGCAGATAAGGTATGTAACAAATAATACACTTTAGTTGCTGACACTGACTGGATCTCCATTAAGGAGCTTATGTGTAAACAAACGCGTGAAACTCTTGTACACTTACAGTATGAACAATTCTCATGTTAGGATTTTAAATCATTAACTCGAATAGAGTACATATAATGAGATGTATAAATATCATCTGTAGACAGACGAAGTAATTTCGAATTGTAAAGCTGTATGAGCTGTACGCTCGTACAAACAATAATATATCAATTATATATATATACTTATACTTATTATAAAAGCAGAAAAATCATCCTTACGGATGAAGAAATATTATAAAAAGAAAAATTCGCAACAACGAGTCTTTAGTACTTTCATCTCTTCTACGGGATTCTTCAGATTTATACTTATACATATGTTCTCACCTTTTTATTTATTACACTAATGTATGAGTTATTGCAGTGCTTAAATGAAAAAGAAAGACTACTTTGGCAAGCCAAATAATATTTTTCTTGATTAGGAATTTAATTGATCAATTTATTATGGTGATACAATACAGAAAAAGCTATTGATACAATGCAATCTATTGTCTTTTTTCAGAAATCTTAACATGGCATGGTCAGATGCACTGGTGAATGTACTGCTGCTTCCGTTCACAGCGGGGAATTCGAGGACAGTACGGAACCGACCTGTTCATTTGGACGGAACAACATCCACCGTTGTCATCAGTATTGTCTTTACCTCTTTACTTTTACTGCTCGTAAAAGCAATGATAGACCAGGAGAACACTTTATTAAGCTTTGCTGGGACCATAGGTTTCCTATCCGTTGTCGTCTCCTTTGGCTTGCTGTCCTGTGTTGCTGTCATCATTGTCATCAAGGTCAAAGGCTTCCACTCAATATTAGACCCACGACAGGATGTGGCTAGTTCTCGTCTGCAAAAGATTGTTTTATGGGGTTTCGGGATGGTGTCTGTAACATTTTGTTTTCTGAAGAGCGGTCATCTAGTAGAATGTATCGACATTCTAGACAACGCCCCAATCATGGAGTGTGTATTCTATGTTATAATACTTGTGTTTTTGCCCGTACAGATTTTATTACTGACCTATCTCACGCCTTACCGATTCAAACGATCCGTACGTATTCAGTATACGATCCTGTTAATGCTAGCCTCTAATATCACAATGTGGGTGTACAGTTTAATGACACATGATCAAGAACATTCACATGCTAACCCGAGAAACGTCACGTGGAATACCAACTGTACAAATAAAACATTTACACATATGCTTTATGTTTCCGAAAAAATTCTCTCTCCAATATTTTTGGAATATTCTATGTTAGCAATTACGATGACACACAATTTATCTGTTAAATGGGAAACTTACAATGAAAGAAGCGAAAATACAATCCTAGAGACCCATAGTCTGACAGAAACAAGTAAAAGCACTGTCGATGAAGGCGAGTCAGACGACCGTTCTGTTCCCATAAATGCTGAAACTCCATTATTGTCTGGATTGTCAAAAGTTTCTCCAGGTCCAGTTCAGAGGACAGACAGGAAAACGTTCCTGTTCTACGTCGTTTTGATGTTGTATGGATTGCTTTCTGTCAGTATTTTCATCGGATACATTGTTCGAGTCACTGTCCCCAGTGAAATGCAGCAGAAATGGATCGCTAGTTTGGAACTGGTTATTTCTATCATGATGGCGATTTGTACATTTTATGGATATCATCTTGTGGCACGAGACACCAATCCTCCTTTCAAGTCCGATCCTATATCCGGAGGCGAATACGTGTTTATTATCTCCGCAGTTGGAACCATGATAAGTTGCACATTTAGCGTGATGACATCCCTAAAATCCCTGAAAACTCCCAATTATGTGTTTGCAGTTTCTCGGGGGATCTTTGGTACACTTTCCTACTTACAGACTGTCCTTATCCTTCACGCTAGCCGCTGCAGCCCGAAGCATCACTGCCGAAATAAAGCATCACTGAAGCGCACTTTGCTGTTGCTGTCATTGTACAATTTAGGGGCTTGGATCATCGAGAGCTTTATATTGGGTAGTTTTCCTAGTTTAAGGAGCGCAGAGAAGCAACTCCTCGGCCAGGCTCTGTTGGAAATAAATTACAAAGTTTGCCATCCTATGAATGTCTTCTTCAGATTTGCCTCAGCTCTAGAATTATATGAGTTATATAAGAAATATGGAGGCTAAACATGTCCAGTGTCATTTGTCTGTAATCTGTTACTTTTTAAATATGACTGGAAATTAGCACAATAGCCGTTAGTTGTAATATTGTTTTGGGATTTTGTTTAACACAAGTTTGACTCTGCTTTGTTTCCAAGTGTTTGATCAGTTTTTTGTCATCCTCATTAATGATTGCTAGCATGTTGCTTATATTCAATTTGATAACTTAATGTATATTTCGATAAAATCGTCTCGCCGAAAAGGAAATAGAATAAAATTATAAATAAATAAAATCAGTAATGCACTCTCTAATGCATATCGACTTCTGTGTTTGCCATTAGGTTTTGTACAAATAGATAACACGTTTCCGCTTAGACGTCACGGGAAAAAACCCTTAGCTGATCTGCTGCAATAGGAACCCTAGAGATCACCATTTTATATTCTATTTTCTCTTTCTTTTCGCCGGTGTATCCCTAGCTACATGTACTTTAGCTAAGCTCATTGTCACAATAATGTGAGGGAATGGAGTGTCATACTTCCGCATTCAAATTACGGTATTCCAGTGATATAACAAGGAAATGGCCCATTACTTATTACTTCACACGAACATACAAGACGTAAATCCAAAGCAAGCAAATAATCAAAGTCCCTAGTGTGTACAAAAAAAGTACACAATTAAACAGAATTATGAAATGGATTGCATGAATTACATGACAGGTTGAATGGTGAAAGATGATTGACTGGAGAGAAGTTCAGAACTCCTCTGATTCTTACAAACCAGCCTTACTGCTCTCTCTATCAACCAGGCAACGGGTTCTTTTACCGACAATCAGCAAAATCCTATCTTTAAAGCTTATATTATCTTAATATTATATGCTCAGCACAATGAAAGGAATGTCTAGTACCACACGTGACGGATCCATGATAAGGAAAGACATTATTGAATTAGCGATAATGTAACGTCTGTGTGAACAAAGCATAAATCTTATTGTTGCTACCACTGGCGTCATAACTAGCAGGAAATACCAAAATGAATTATTAATATGTAATTCAGAAAAATTCATATAAGGAAGTACATAAATATCCAAATCTTTGTTACTGTTAATTTGTTTTGGTCAGCTTCAAACAAACAAGAGGCTCATGGGCCTTAACGGTCACCTGATTTATGTTAAAACTGATTTTATCGATGTTGCAAAATTAAAAAGAAATAATTTTGTAACAAAGGTAACTTGAACTACATGTAATATACTATGTACAAGTAGTGGTTCTGTCAGTCAGCTGAATTTAGGTAAAGCACCTTGAGATCCTTCCATCTATGAAGAGTATTTGATTCTACCAAATCTGGATCTTGAGAAGAAGGTTTTTAAAATTTTAGTCAATTTGACCTTTTTTGGCCCCGCCCCTAAGGCCCCTTGGGTCTGGGGACCATATTACTCACAATTAAACTATAGTAAAGTTTACCACCTCCCAAGGGGAAAAACGTGAGACCCCAGGGTCATGAAATTTACAATTTTGGTAAAGCACCTTGAGACCATTCCATCTATGAAGAGTATTTGATTCTACCATTTCTGGGTATTGAGATTAAGATTTTTGAACTTTCAGTCAATTCAACCCTTTTTGGCCCCACCCATCAGCCCCTGGGGGTCAGTCAGGGCTGATTTGTGCATATCAAAATGCTATCCAATATTGATAATGCTAACCAAGTTTGAATTAGTTCCAATGGAAATAAAACAAATTCTGGTCCAAAATGTGATTTCCCTATATAAACTATAGTAAAGTTTACCTCCTTTCCAGGGGGAAACGTGAGACACCATGGTAATGAAATTCACAACTCTGGTAAAGCACCTTAAGACCCTTCCATCTATAAAGAGTATTTGATTATACTATATCTGGATCTTGAGAAGAATTTTGATATTTTAGTCAATTTGACCCTTTTTGGGGACCATATGATTCACAATTTTGGTTAAACTTTGGCCATGGAAGATTTTTGCAAAATTTCATTGAAATTGGTTCATTTTTTTGTTGAGAAGAAGTCAATTTTGGTAAAGCACCTGCTTAAGACCCTTCCATCTATGAAGAGTATTTGATTCTACCATATCTGGGTCTTGAGAAGAAGATTTTTGAAATTTTAGTCAATTCATATCATTAAAATTGGTTCAGGGGTTTTGGAGAAGAAGTCGAAAATGTAAATTGTTTACGGACGCCGTACGACGCCGGACAAAAGGCGATCGCAATAGGTCACTTGAGACTTTGTCTCAGGTGACCTAAAAAAGCAGAAAAATGTATGACGAAATATTTATAAAAACAAGATAAAAATATACGATAAAAGGGTGATGGCATCATGTTTTAGTGATGTACTCAAAACAGATAAAAAGAATCAACCGTTTCACAATTAAGGACATGAACATATCCTTAAGCGATATAGAGAAATTATATATATATACAAACGAATATTTTCAATGTGATGGTTATCGATCCATGCCTTACATGTACATCGAATGACTTGTACTTTGTCCAAACACAAACGACGAAGTTCTTTTTTTAGTTTCAGTATATATTACGATTCTATGAACAAATGGAACTAAAGCTATCACCGAGGAGTTGACAACGTAAAATCAATAATACAAATGTCATTCTCTGCAGAGAAGGGTTGGGCTATCTCAATTTTCAATTTAGCGCTCTCGTTAGAGCACATTTCCCACCATTTTCTTGCTGAAGAAAGAGGATGTGTGATCAGTCACAAACATGTTTTTTTGTTTTTTGTTTTTTAATAATGATTTTATTTTCAAAAGAGGTTTTTCAATACAGTGACAATAATAATGGATCAGTAATTCATTCAGATCATATAATAATCTATTTGTCACCATTCATCTTTCCTATCGCCAATCATACCATACAAATTATGCAAAAAGAAATTTGTATCACTATAGACTGCATATGGATAGGTATTATTTCACAATCTTCCTTATTTATAAACTCAATTATATATTCTTTCTTGTCATACAGTATAATATTGCATGCAAAGACATACATTATCACAAATGTTGCAACCATATTATTTTACCCCCCGCAACGAAGTGGTTTTTTTGAGAGGGGGTCGATATTATACATCCTTTAGTTCATAGGCTTATTCAAAACACCGAGAATAATGTGATCAGGATATTTTAATAAAACGATGCGGAACGGGCAGAAATTTCCGGAATCGGCAGAAATGAGACACATAACAAATTGTAATGCATATATAATCGTAAAGATTGGGCCAAAAGAGAAAAGTTGGCACCTCTGCATGGTACTGCCACTACACAAATTTTTTTTCTAAGAAATCTATTGAAGAAAAAGCAAATGCATAGCCGGACAAATTTATACGTAAAGGGACGTTTTTCTCTTAAAAAGGTCAGAAACGACGAATAATTTCAGGGGGCATAATTACATATGGTACTGCCATTACACTTAAAGATTCAAAGACAGGGGGGGGGGGGGGGGGGGGGGGAAGGGATGATTAATAATATGGTTGCAACATTTTGGATAATGTATGTCTATGCATGCAATATCAAGTTCATACAGAAAGTAGTGGAAGGCCTTACGCTTATTTTTCTTAAATCAGAAATAATTTCCCCCAACAAAGGTAGATTTTTTTGTTTTCTTTTGTTAAGAATTGCCGCTGTATGACAAGGAAGAATATATAATTGAGTTTATAAATAAGGAAGATCTTCTGTCACTATCTTATTGTTAGATATGCCGTAAACGTTAAGAGAACTCTTGACAGTGGACATTGTAAGTATACATTTTACTGCACAGAACATTATGATTATTATGATTAAGAACCAAGTTATGTCATAAATATGAAATGAATGCATACTTTTTATTTGTCTTGTGCAACTTAATAACAATAATAATAAATCCTGTGTTGACTTTCACAACTGATTTAACATATAAAAATCCATTTTTTCTGTGTTTTAGAAAAGTCTGATAAGAACATGGCGTGGTTAAACGTTTTGCAGTCTGTATTCATGCTTCCGTTCATGGCGGGTTACGCGAAGGCAGGACGGAATCGACCTACCCATCTTGATGGGACAACCTCTGTTATTGTCTTCAGCACATTCCTCTTCTCCTTCATTCTTCTGATTGCGAAAACAATGACAGGTACTAACGAAACTGTATTTCATTGTCGCGGATTCCATGTAATTTTGTCCAGTATTGCCTTTATTGGCGTGCTTTCCTATATTATACTGATCATTACTCTCAGACTCAAGGGCTTCAGCAGCTTATTGGAACAACGAACCGCACGTAGCACTTCTGGTGTCCATATCATCTTCCTCTGGATGTTTGGGGTTGCATCCGTCGTCTTTTGTATACTGAATACAGGCCGGCTGATAGAATGTGAACTTTCGCTGGAGTCCAATGTCGTTTCAGATGTTAATCTGATGGAATGTGCTTATTATGTAGCCATGGCGCTGTTCCTCTTAATACAGATGATGGTACTGACCTATCTGATGCCTTTTAAGTTTAGAAGCTCTTTGCGACTTCAATACTTGATTCTGATAATCATATCCACAAATTTATCGATGTGTGCTTACAGTTTTAGAGATCGTTACCTCGGAGATATGTATGTAGGTAATGGCACATGGATTGTTCTCAATTGCACAAATCAAACATTTTCACAAATGCTTGATGTTTCTAACAAAGTCCTCACTCCAACGTTTTTGGAATGTTCCTTCCTATCGATAACAATTATTATGAACATGTCATCTAAATGGAACACAGACAACACCATAAATGACAACAACGAACTAACCGTCGTTATTGCATCTAGTGACAGTGTATCAGATACTAATGTCGACAACCCCGTTTCTTTTGAACGCAGGAGATCACAATTATCAGGCGAACATAACAACGACACTGAATACGATGACAACTCATCCGAATCTAATCCAAGGACACCCTTGTTGTCTAATTCCCAAGTATCCAGACGTGGATCAAACTCGGCTCCTGGTTGTCACACTGGCGTCAAACCTAACAAAGAACGTTTAAAGCCGCTGTTGTGGTACTACGCTAGCGTGTTGTTCTCCTGGATACTCGGCATCGCTGTTTTGATAGTTTACATAGTACAAATTACCAGTGAAAGCACCGACAGAGGTATGTTGAACGCTCGGGATGTGTGCGAGACACTTGCTTCATGTATGATGGCCGTATATGTACATGCAGGATTTTATCTCCTGTCAAAACACACTCGGCCAAAAGCTGACGTTGGCCCTGTTTCCGGAAGTGAATATATCTTCATTATATCATCGATCGGGGCACTATTTTCATGCGTTTTTAGCGTATTGAGTTTTATACACTTTGCTCCTACCTTCTATAAGGTGCATGTAGCGTCTCGTGTAATCATAGGAGTCATATCATACACACAGACCGTGTTTATTCTACATGCAAAACGCTGCAGAAGGAAACGCACGAATGAGAACATTTCGTCCCTTCGTTCAGTGATGTTGCTGCTCGTTATGTTCAATTTTGTTTTCTGGATTGTCGAAAGTTTTATTTATGGCGGATATTACAATGTGAAATATATGGAAAGAAAATACCTCGGTCCTGATTTGTGGAACATCCGAGTCGGCATATGTCATCCCCTCTATATGTACTTTAGTTTTACTTCAGCATTGGAAATGTACAACCTATTCCAACAATTCTCAGCTAAACAATTATAGTTACAAGACAATACCATGCAAATGAGAAAGTGACAGAATATAATGTCATAACATTCTTTCATGAAAGATTCGATGAATATAACAGTCGAAATACGTTGTTACTGTGTTTACCAAGTCGGTAGTTTTCTTTGGTGTTGTTTTCAAATGGGTTAAATTAAGCATATGTTGTTGACTGGTTTATTTATAAACTATTTCCGTACATATTCCTGATAACGCGTTACTAGGAAACTTATAACCTGTTGTGCATAAACTATGGCATATGTGAATTAAAGATTGTATTTTATTTGTTTGCAGTATCGATTTGGACTGTTTGATATCATAAACATATATTACCTAGCTAAGGAAATACACAAAATCGTGCTTTATAAGGAGAAAATTGCAGACTTTAGATCAAAATAGTATTTTATCGTTTATGAAAAATGTAAATAAATAATCTGCGTATTCTTTATCGCCTCTGATTATATTTGTAAATAAGAATCCATCATGGCTGTTCATGCGATAACATTTTGCTTTGGATATTCGCCAACTATTCATAGAAAATATCAAGATATAATGTATGTGTACACAGGAGTATAACTTTTTTGAAACTTCCCTGAAAAACCACCAACAAACATACCCTCAATAGGCTGTCAACAAATATCATTATATATGATGGAAATTACATTCTCACGATAACCTTGCAACTTTATACAAATCCATTTTGGATGTAACAGCAAATTGGTTGTTTATTATACAATTATGGGCTTTTGTGCTGGTGAATATGATGTGATATGAACCTGAAAGAGTGATATTGACTGAGGCGAAGCCTAGGTCAATATCCCTCTTCGAAGCCTAGGTCAATATCACTCTTTCAGGTTCATATCACATAATATTTACCAGCACAAAAGCCCATAACTGTTTTATTATATGCTTCAACAATAAAACTAAACTAAACTAAAGGTTCTGATTTTTGTACTCGAGCCACCGTGTAAAATTTAGCCAGGTTTGAATACAACAGTACAGCATTGTAGCTTTCGAAGGCATCGTCTAGATTCTTTTTCTTAAGATAAGCATGGAGGACATGCACTGCGTGTTCAATAGCCTTTTTTTTACGTTAACAGCATCTTTATCCTCGGAATAGTTTTGGTAATTTTCCTAACGGAGGAGAAACGTTCGCCAGCAGCCATCTTCTAATGTCGTCTGACACATCGCATTCCAGTCTAACTGCGCATGCGCTACGACAGGTTCCGGGGAATTTCCATACAGGCTATATTTAGAAATCGATATTCACCAGATAACCAGTCTACATGAGTTTTTGAGGACTGGTCACGTGTATAGGATCCGACCAATGTGATTGCGAGAAATGTTCATGCATAGAATAACATTGTTTAATATACTATAGCTTATTTTTTCCCCTGATAATTATTGCTATCAACGTAAGTTTGATGGACAACAGAGTACGTGTACCGAGCTACTTATAGGTGCTTGTTTTTTACTACTGACTGATAACTTGTTATCTATTATAACGTTTACCGTCAGATATTGAGGCCCTTATTGTTCCGTTCACTGATCAGATGTTATCATGATAACAAGGAAGCTATGACCGATGTCACACTTGACATATTGTTTCCTTATGAAATACGTTCAATACTTCTTAATGTATACATTTAGTAAACTATTGTCATACATTTTTTTTTATTATTATTATTTTTTTTTTTTATTATTCTACAACATTGATATCAAGGAAACCAAGGTATTATCTGTTTTACACACAAGGAAAATATTTTTCGGTATTGATGAATCATGTCGAAAGAAAACAATATTAACCAGCCAGTCATGACATTAATTGGCCCCGTATAGCTGAATACTCGTAGTACGTCATTTTAAACAGGGAAAATAATAAAGAATCATTGATATTTTTTTTTAAAACTTCAACTACCTATTAAGCTACATTGTAACATTATAAATAGCTTCATACACAATAACACTTGTAATTCAAAAAGGTACGGCCGGTTAAGAGTTGTCTGTAATAACTTGGCTTGTCGGTAAATTAGTTAAAGCATCATGCATATGTAAAGAATAAACTATTCCTCGTTTCGATAGTGTAAATAAATATTTCCTGAAATCGTCAACTGATTAGCAATTAATTCCTGTTTATTGACTTAAAAAGCTGATTAGCAATTTATCGCCAATACTTTTGTAACAAGATAACTAAAGCAGACAACGAACAGCTGTAAACAATCTGGACAAAAACCCGTATAATGAAAGGGCACTTGGAAGGACAATGCCGAATACCTACTACGAGGAAGTAACGATTAGTAGGTCTACCTTCTTTGGCCTGCATTCACGAAACCGAGTCTATGTTTAAGCTAATTTGCTGAATCCATACATTCGTACGTTTCTTTGGATGGGAACAAGAACTCAACTTTGTGAGTTGCTAGGCACTTTCATAGTACGATGTAACAGGACCTTGTTAAGGCTACTGTGTGACTTGACGTACATGTATGATGAATTGGAATACTTACAGCTAGGTTGTGATTGTTTGTCTTGACCTATTCTCTCGTACACATTAACCATGTCTTAATAAATTGTTACAACTAATTCTCGTCTACTTGTATTTAATTTCTGTAAAAGGGCCTCACTGAAAACTTAAGCATCGAATAAAATAATATATATACTCGGATCTTTGAGAATTAAAATAATGATTTATAAATGCACGATGGTAATCCTTATTTTTGCACATACACACATACCTATACTAATACAACTAAGAGAATGGCATCGATGAATCATACACTTTTATACAAAATTAAATCAACAAACTTTTAGTATGCTATAACAATGCAGAAGGAAATATTCCTTAACTAACCTTTTACAGCTATTGCCTATTCCAATTCTCTAGCCGACTCAGCTTTTTGGCAATTACTCAATATTTACACAAAAAAATAAGAATTATACATTTTTTTTTTATTCTCGCTGATTCATATGATATCTATTTGATCGAATTCTAAGTAAATTCGGGTGTCAATTAACAAAACGACCAAACCGCTAACATGAGGCGTCACTGTGGTGAACTTTTGTTGAATATGAAAAGAGAAATCGGAGAACATAAGTCGTCCATGAGACAGGAAGAATTGGTGGTAGTTTATGAATAATACCGAGTTCTCCAACATTGTTTTTGTTTAAGATAAAATATATATAAAAAAAAAACCCAACGTGTATTGTAACTAGAATTTTGTTTTTGTTCACAAAAACATATGTCTCCCCTTATTAGCCAATAGATAAACTTCGGTATACAAAAAAAAACTAACAAAGGGCCATATCTCTTTACATAGGGGGGCACAAGACCCGAATTAAGAATGCGACACTCCTACTTTCCAAGATACATTAAAACTATAGCAAGTTTGTTCAACGTAGGTGAAATAACATGGAAGTGATGCCGTGGACAAACTTCGGTATTAAAAATAAACAAAGGACCATAACTGTGTATACAGTGGAGCACGAGACCTAATTCCAGTGCACTGCACACCTTCTGTGGGTGATGCAGTTACACTTCAAGTTTGATTAAGATATCTTTAATGGTTTAGAAGTTATGCCGCGGACAAACTTCGGTATTACAAATAAACAAAGGGTCATAACTCTGTATATAGTGGGGCATAAAACCTGATTTAAGTGCGAGAGATTCCGCCTCCCCAAGATACATTTTGGTCAACTTAGATGTTATAACATGAATAATATGCTCCTGACTAACTTTGGTAAACGAATTAAACAAAGGGTCATTACTCTGTATACAGTGAAGCACAACCTAATTCCAGTGCACTGCACACCTTCTGTGGGTGATGCAGGTGTAGTTCAAGTTTCATCAAGATATCTTTAACGGTTTAAAAGTTATGGCCCGGACAAGTTGCGATAAGAAGAACCAGAAGAAGAAGAACCAGTACTAATACAATATGTCTCCCTTCATTCGAAGGGGAGACATAATTAACACTCCTTACACCTTTCAATCCGGCGTTGATAGAGGCTTCTATTACCAACAGTCTATTTGTTCCTGTAAACTTTGGGGGAGTCTGACATTACAAAAGTCGTCATTCCAGAAGTTTTCAGGAAGATCTGAAGATGGCACGATTTCTTCGTCGGAGATTAATCTCACTGTACAGTTTCTAAGAAGGGTTTCCAAATCAAACGGTGCCTGCTTTTTTGAAACAGCGTCGTTACTCATTACCCCGTCATATGCTCTAGAAATAGAAGAAAGATAATTGTAAACATTTTTAATTTTAAATTTATATATATATTAATGCAAAAGTTATTACAAAATATTTTATCCTCTTGTTTTTTCCCTTTTTTCTACAATTTAGAATAAAAAAAGATTTCTGTTAGCTGTAAGAGAAAACAAAGTGCTGACAGAATTCAAAAATACTTCAAGGAATAAGTTTTTGAATCCTGCGTTTGTAACTATATTGTTTCCTCCAAATGTCCTCACCTTCATGATAAACTTCACCAGAATACTCAAAACAGTCAATTATTTATCACCTAACAAAATCCCTGAAGCTATTCAGTAGATGCAAATTCTGATATAATCTGTTTTCTTGCTTTGTTTTTGTTTGTTTCTGTGATAGTAAAAGAGATACATTAATATGAATAGAGAAACCCAGCTGAACCGATTGGTGCCTAATTGAATTGTAACTTTGTTATAGCAATAACCAGACGAGATAGAACTGCGCACTTCTTCGTGTTAGGAGCTCACCTGTTACTCTCTGGTTCCTCGTTAGCCTTGGTCAAATCTGCGATATATAATCAAAGCAGGATTCTTGATACGTGAAGCAATCAACCATGAATAGTTGTACAAATTTGCTTAAATACTTCCGTTATATATCAGATCAGTATGTATTATTCATCAAAACACTATCACTGATAAAACGAAGAAAGCAAATAAAGTTTCATTGTAGTTCTGAAATGTTCGAAAGTAAAACCAAATCCAGTCGGTTGTCTATTTCTTTTTTCGTATCGGGATTTTTTTTTTAAATATTTATTTTGAATTGTCGCATCAACGTTTGATATCTACTTCTTCATAGAAAGTAACAACATTTGGAATACTTAAGTAATGTAACATACATAACGCTTGACATAGATTAAATATGACTTAATTAGAACAAGATTACATACCTATTACAGACGTAGGACCTGGATTGACAAAGGTCAGCAGTGGTTGACCATGATAGAAAACCTAGCAAACAACAATTTATAGCACTATATCAACAAACTCCAAATAATATAACAAAGTATTACATTTTTCTTGGCACTTCCAAAACACAAACATATTAATAAGTCAGACCTAAAAAAACTTAATTTCTAAGAAATTTACGCTCATCCATTATTACATGTTTCAGCCCATAGAGTTCTGTTTTATGTTAGGATTGCATATGGGTTTATCTTAGATCATTATTGACTGACATGCTCTCTCGGATTTGTCAGGAAACACTTCGTAACACATCAACATCATGTATCACAAAGTGCGTGAACCGCTCACCCTAACACATGTATCACATAGTGCGTGAACCGCTCACCCTAACACATGTATCACAAAGGGCGTGAACCGCTCACCCTAACACATGTATCACATAGTGCGTGAACCGCTCACCCTCACTCATGTAACACATAGTGCGTGAACCGCTCACCCTAACACATGTATCACAAAGTGCGTGAACCGCTCCCCCTCACTCATGTAACACATGTATCACAAAGGGCGTGACCCGCTCACCCTAACACATGTATCACATAGTGCGTGAACCGCTCACCTTAACACATGTAACACATAGTCCGTGAACCGCTCACCCTAACACATGTATCACATAGTGCGTGAACCGCTAACCCTAACACATGTATCATATAGTGCGTGAACCGCTCACCCTAACACATGAATCACATAGTGCGTGAACCGCTCACCATAACATGTATCACATAGTGCGTTAACGGCTCACCCTAACACATGTATCACATAGTGCGTGACCGCTCACCCTAACACATGTAACACATAGTGCGTGAACCTCTCACCCTAACACATGTAACACATAGTGCGTGAACCGCTCCCCCTAACACATGTATCACATAGTGCGTGAACCGCTCACCCTAACACATGTATCATATAATGCGTGAACCGCTAACCCTAACACATGTATCACATAGTGCGTGAACGCTCACCCTAACACATGTAACACATAGTGCGTGAACCGCTAACCCTATCAGAGCATCTGGATATGAATTTAAATATTTAAATTATCGCAGAATGACGTAAACCGCAAACAGGCCTTAGATCCCAGTAGGGGGTCGACAATGACGAGTACTATCCGTATTTTCTCATCTCCTGCATGGGAAAATTTTCGGAGCAAAAGTACAGAAAATGCGTTAGAAGTGTTTGGTATATTGATGCTTACCTTCCCCCTAGTCTTTAAAACTCTGGAGGAACGGAATGTAAACTGTACGAGGAAAGATAGTCAAGAGGATTCACCACAGATGATATGTTTATAAAATGAAAATACCCCGTACCTCTCTGTAAGCTCGACTCTTTTTCACCAGTACGCCATCATTGACAGCGGAGACCCACTGGACAGGGGTTTTAAACACTTCACCTCCATGTCCTCTTATCAACCCAGAGTGCAAAAGGCTCCCGATGTACCGACCATTCTTCTAAAATGAATAAATAAATATTCAATAAATAAATAATCAACATACTTATCAATACGAGGAAACACAAAGTTAACAGACAGTGAACGTATTCTTTCCTATTGGTAACAGCCTAGTTAGTAACCACGCAAAATCACGACAACAAAAAAGATCATGAAATTAGAATTGTGTGACTCAGGAAAAGTTGAAACGTATAGAAATTCGAACATGTCTCCTAAGTTTTGAATTTTGTAGCATACAAATGACCATTTCACCCGAATTTTTAGCAATAAATTACACATGATATTTTACGAATACACCCAGATCTCCATTATCTATAACAAATAGTTTACCAATATTTCCTTATCTTTAGCATGTGCTGCACATAATTGATTGATACACAATCGTCTGTAATTTACAGATAAACTCTAGTCTGTAGTATTGTACCATACACGATTTAGACCTAATATTTACCATTTAATCACATAAACATACAGAAATGTACCAATACACTATTATCTGTATTAATTAACAAATCACTATTTAACAAAATTCCGTATTTTTTTATCATTTTACAACACATTATTACCAACACTTACATGTTATTGCTTATGTCCAACACTGTTCTGTATGAGGTTAGTCCTTGTAAACAATAACAACACTGTTCTGTATTAGGTTAGTCCTTGTAAACAATAACAAGACACACACTGTACCTTAGATTCTGTGACAAGGCAATCATTTTCAGGCACGAGAGCACCGCGCTCTATCAGAGTTCTAAGAGGTGGATATTTTGTCTGTACCGGAATGCTGCCATTCTGATCAGACTGCTCCTGTGTAGTATCATAAACTGACTTTGATTTATTCAAAGTGTACAAAAAAGACGACACATACATAAATACATGCAGTTACAGTGAACATTATTGTTGTTACTTTTTTAACGGCTCTTCAACACATAAGAGATCAGTAGGGCAAATAAATGGTCGATTAAATTAGTTACAGTAAATGGCATCAGACAAACGATCAAGTATATCAAGAGTGGCTATGATTAGTTGCATCTTTTGATTAGACCAACAGTTTTCAGGTAATCTAGGATTATAGAGATATTTGCTTTTGTTAAAAAAGAGATTTGATAGATTATAAGAAAGGTTTTTCGTGCTGGCTGAAGGTCGATGCAATCTAATAATGATAAGTGTTTTGCTTTAAATGGTTCGTGACAAGCTATGCATTGATGCTGGTCATCGGGTTTCAATAAATAAGAATGGGTCATGTATAAATGTCCCTTCCCAATACGGGCAGGGCCAACCTCGTCAGGGCGGCCTTTTCTATAGCTAATAACCATTCTCCAACTACAGGTTTTATAAAGGAGGTTACCTTTCCGAACAGTCCAAGACACAACAAAAAGTCACAAGGCAAATTTACCTCACTTACCCGGAACTCCTCCGCTGTTGTCCTTTGATCCTCTTCGATATGTTTGGTGTAAGGACCAATATGAGGCTTTAACACCGGAACAGGAACTTCGCATTCAATCTCCATCTTCTGACTTTCAGCTAAAAGTCGTCTTTGTTGTATTCTTCTATTGATTTCCGATGATTTGACTGGAAACACGTCGCTACACGATGCAGTACTTGGTGATATGTTATCAACATCAGTGGTGTTCGGCAGAGGTGGAGATTTGAACATAGGACCGTGTGACATAATTTGATGCTGAGATGGAGGTGGGGAACTGGAATTTATAACAGAAGTGTTTGATTGTGGTTTTCTTAATGGCGGAGGAACTAAAATGACCTTGAGCTTTCCAGAGGTTTGCTTGATACCTTGATCTGGAGCGTTGGTCTTTGTATACAAGGTACGAATGTTTGGATAATTAACAGTCCGTGAAAATGTTTCTTTTGACGTCATATTCGGCAGTACATTTTTTGGCGTTCCATTGCAATCGAAGTGCTGAAATTAAAGATCAGATAATTAAAATATTGAATTATGTGTTGTCCATTACCAAACGCCAGCACTTCGCAAAAGGAAAAGTAAAAACAATAATTTATACATTATTTTATTATGTGTGATGCAAAATTTGTTGGAAAGAATGAGGAAAGATGGGTATTTTGAAACATACAGGCCATTACACTCCAATACCTCCTACCTTTCAATGAGTTGTCTCCCGTTTTCTCTGTTCAAGATTCAAGATTTCTCTGTCATACCTAGGTTATGATTAAAAATAATCTTCCCCTACCTTGAGCGTTTTATCTTACTCGAGGGTTGGAGATTTTTCTGTTATACCCTCAAGGTAGGGGATGACTATTTTTCTGCCGACCTATTATTTTAGCCACAACTCCAACGACAGTAACCTGCTTGTAAACAAAAACACATGTGGGGTATGAATATTGTCATTCGTTTTCGATGACGTCACAATTACCAGTGACACATATTAATGACGTCACAATTGAACACGTACTAATCGGCACGAGGCTATCCCCCCCCCCCCCCCCCCCCCTCCCTAAGGGGGTGACAAGCTGATCTTTCCAGGCTGAAACGGGAGACACAACTGTGAACGGTGAACTTTGTCACCCCCGTATAGTATGACAGATGACAGGCGTAAACAAACAATACTATTACGTCACGGAAACAATCAGACTTAACATCATAATCAGCTCTAGACGGGAGAAATCATGTTTAAATCAAGACAACAAAACAGATTACAGTTGCGTGTTGAAAAGTATTGCTTTTAAACTTTGTATTGAGAGGACGAAAGGAAAAATAATCATCCTCTACCTTAAGGGTGTAACAGAGATATCTCCTACCCTCGGGGTGATTATTTGGTTGTCTTACCCGAGACTCTGTCCTCGATGCCTCCTCCTCTACAGAACCCTACTGCTGTTGATAGCCCCTTGGGTTGGAGATGTCTCTTTCACATCCCCATGGTAGGGGGAGATTATAAAGTCCTGCACTACTGTTAATATAAACACAACTTTGTCACACTGATTGAAACATCCTTTTCACTAACCTGTCTATTCAATCCAGCCTTACTCATAGCAGTTAGCTTATGAGCTCGTGGAGAGGTCCCACCACGGTTAGAAACAGGAATAGGTCGGTTGTTCTGTGCTGGAGCAGGCCATTCCTCTACATTGGCACTTGACTGTATTGTAAAACATTTCCCAACAAGATCACCTGGCTGTGCTGGAGTCTTAGACCTGGTCTCAACATGTGTACAGGACCCTAACGAAGATCTTTCTTCAATACAGGTACTTGGCTGTTCCGGGTCAAACGAATTAATCATTGAGGTCGTAATCGTTTTCTGACGAGGATGGGTTTGAATTACACTTGTTTTTTGTTGAAAAAAGGAGGATTCGACAAACGGGTTTGCCGAGACTGTACCAGTGCCGCCCTGTCTCGGCACCGGTCTTTCTACACTGCCATTTTCTATCAAGGAACTATTGGCGAAGCTCTTTGTCGGCAGCGACATCTTTTCCGTGTTTTGGTTCACAGGAATGTTACTGGTATAACTAAGTAGCAAACTTTGTGAGCATGATTCTGAGGTCAGACGAGACGATCTAGATGACTGTGTGTCCTGCACGCGCTTTTCCTTAGAGTTCGGTGGAGTAACTGTCATCTGGCTTGACCCAGTTTTTTGGCTCGCTTGATGATTAAGGTTCTGTGACAAACTCGTGGTTGTAGTCTGATATCCTGAACCATCATTTCTTTGTTCGATATCTTTTATTCTGGAACTCAGCGTCTTTTGCCTTTGGACCAGTTGGATCAGCTGTTTTTGTCGTTTTCCGAGTTGTTCGATCTCGCGCTTGTGTCGGAACCTATCCTGTTTTGTTTTGGAAGTGGACCGTACGTCGGCGGTCAAGCGGTGTCTGTAACACTTGTGCTGGTTGCTAAGCTGTCGCAACAGTGATTGAAGTGTGTCCATGTGTTGCTTTATTTTTTCAACGTCTGAAAATGAAAAGACAAATAATAGCGTTGAAGCTTTGGTAAATAAACGTTTTTATTTACTTTAACTTATAAGCTTGATTTAATGAGAGGTTAACATGAAATAAACGTTCTAATAAAATCATTTATGCTATCAAAGTAAAATCACATCTCATAAATAATCATATTTTAAAATGCAGCTAATTGATTATGAATATTTAATGACAACATAGATCTATTGTTTTCGATGTTCTTGCACAATGGACTAAAAGAAATACTAGTACCCGGATACTCGCGCTGTTATTGTTCAGTAAGTTAACTTAGGTAATAATGAGATACATTTCCTTATTTCTCCACGTCAATAGTTTCATAAAACACTTTGGTGAACGCCATGAAGCTTACCTCCTTGAAGACTCGATTTGCGCAGTTGTTTGTCAACATAGTCTTGCTGCTTGACGATCCTTTTGAATATCACTTCCTCTCGGTCATGCTTATCATTGAACAAACAGTCAAGAGGTTGAACATAATATTCGGGTTTTTCCAGGGGTATTTTTAGAATGTAATTACAAATTTTATTACTAGCATATATCTAGTCTAACCCAACCGCTTACTAACCACAGTTTAATGTAACATAGTCATCATCCAGGAACAAATTAACCCAAAACTTCAAAATACAGCGGTAATATATATCTGAATAAACATATTTGGGAACTATATACCCCAGTGTCAACACTAAGGGAACTATATACCCAGTGTCAACATACAAGGGAACTATAAACCCCAGTGTCAACATACAAGGGAACTATATACCCCAGTGTCAACATACAAGGAAACTATATACCCCAGTGTCAACATACAACGGAACAATAAACCCCAGTGTATTTGGTGTTTCCACTGTGATGTGCTATTGTATTGGGTGTTTCCACTGTGATGAGTTGTTGTATTGGGTGTTTCCACTGTGATGTGTTATTGTATTGGGTGTTTCCACTGTGATGAGTTGTTTTATTGGGTGTTTCCACTGTGATGTGTTGTTGTATTGGGTGTTTCCACTGTGATGTGCTATTGTATTGGGTGTTTCCACTGTGATGAGTTGTTTTATTGGGTGTTTCCACTGTGATG